CCCTGATGGGAAGCCAGGGCCAGTGGAGGGGTCTGGTCCGGGGCCCAGAGCCACCAAAACCACTTGGCTCTTGAATGATCTGACTTGAGGGCTAACCTAAGCCTTGTGAAATCCCAAGAGAATAACTTCAGGTTCTTTAATCCTAGTGCAGACTTTAGATGATGTTGGAAGGGAAGAAAAGGAAATAATGACCCAAGTCAGTGATTGTACTTTCTAGTAGCCCCAGTGGATAGTTTATATGAACATCCTGTAAGAGGCCACTGGCATCTCAATAAAGGTAGTTAATGGTACACATTGCTATTCAGGAACAGCCACCTTGCACCCATTTGATAGAACCCCAAGGGTCAGAAGATGATCTACTGGACATGGCCCATCAGGATAACAGGAACTCATGGGTCCCTGAAGACAGTATCCAGCCCCCAGCATCCAATCGGGAATCTCTCCTCACCTACAGAGGTCTGAGTAAGATAAAAACTTCATTTTGCAAGCTCTGTGTTTTTCTTTTGTTACTTGCAGCTAAGAGCATTCCAACTCACATCATGTCTTCAGAGACACTTCTGTAATGTGCCTCCTTCTGAATGAACAGAAGGCTACTTCTGAGCCTCCCAGGCTACCCTCTGAATACTTCCTTTACGGAGTTTACCATTGCCGATTTGTCTTAAATCTGACATACACCTGTGAGCTCTTTGAAGACAGGGATAGCATCTTATCTTCCATTCATTCAAATCCCCAAATAAGTCCATAAATGGATACATACATGTAGTCAACTACTTTGAAAATTAGTTATTGTTGTGAGTAGAGGAGAGTGTGTTTCTTGGGTGGGCCCTTAGGGCCAGCGGGGAGATTTCCTTGTTCCAGAATTCAATGAGGAAGGCTGAATTCTCCTCCAGCCTTGAAAACTCTTGTGAGGACAGAAGCATGTTCATTATCTGTCAGTATAATTTAATTATTTGAGTTAGAAGAGCACGGTACTGACTAGGAAGTTGGTGTGAAAACACAACCTGGGTCATGTGACTCACTGTCTGAAACTGTTCATCATGCCTGGAACAGAAGTTCAGCTTCTCACTAGGATCACTAGGTCCGGAAGGTGACCCCCTGCTTTGCCCTCCATCCTTACCATTTTTCCATCACTCTGGTCTTCTTTGGACATTGCCTCTTTCCTGCATTAAACCTTTGTGCATATCAGTTATTTTCTTTCCTCTGCCTAGACTGGAACACAGCATTTTTCAAAAAAGCTGGTTAAATGAAGGAGCAAATAAATTTAATTCAATATGCTCAATGTATATCGAGCTCAAGGTCACTGAACTGGTTGATAGCAGAGTCCCTACCAGATTCTTCTAACGCAGGCTTGTTTTGTTTTTAATCTTCATTCTGGATGATTAGCTATTACAGACCCTCTTCTACCTCAGTATGGCAGTTTCTAAACCTTAGCACTGTTGGCATTAAGGCTGGGTGATTCTTTGTGGTGGGGGGCTGTTCTGTGAATTGTGGGGTATTTAGCAGCATCTCTGGCCTCTACCCTGTGACTAGCAACTACTCCCCACAAGTTGTGATGACCAAAAATGTTTAGACATTGCCAAATGTTCTTAGGGGACAAAATCACCCAGCTGAGAACCACTGCTCTACAGCTATTGTCTTGTTCAGTGAATGTTGGTGCTTAGAATAGCCAAGGGTATTTTCCAGTCCCTACTCACCAGAGAGAGACTTTTGTCCCATTTCCCTTTAACGAGTGGGGAAATGAGACCAATATTAATTTAGAAGGAATTTTAACAATATAGTTAAAAATCTGAAAGGGTTTTATAATTAATTTGCAGTTAATGAAAGTATTTAGTCTATCAGATTCCCTGTTCTTCCAGAATTTTGGTCGATTAATATGAACTTAATGAGACTCTCAACCATCCTGGGTCAGGCAGTAGTAAGATCTTGCCCTTTAAGGAACCATTTCTTCAAAGTATTGTTCTGGGTTTTTTGGGGCATCCTTTCCCAGGATCAGAACTTCACAGTAGCCAGAGCAGCAGGAAGGGGGAACAGAAAGAGACCGTGACAAATGGGGTCCATTTTCAAGTGTTTCATGTTCATTTCAGCGGCTCATGTACCTCTCTTCAACCAGCCTTAGGACTTGATCTGAGAAGCAGAAATGAACACAATTGCAGTGACTTTCCAAATCCAGGGTGCTCCCCGGCTCCTGCAGTGCTGTTTAAACTTAGGAGGTGGGGTTGGAGGCTCCATTAATAACTGCCATGAAAATAGGAGTGATCTTAGCTGGAGATGTCTAAGCTTCATCCTTTCCTCCTTGGCAGAATCAGTGAATTTGCATGATGCATATTAAATGTTTAATTAAAACCCAATGCTAAAGCATTTTCATGAAGTTATAAAAACCCTTTGGAGGGGGGCTAGAGTCCAGGGGTGCTTGTGAGTTTTCCAGGCATGCATCCATCCATCAGACTCCAGAGTCCACCTTAGTTCTGTTTCGCTTTGGTACCTGGGTTATTTTGCAGGTGTTAGAGCTGCTTGACATAATGGTTCGATGACATTCAGATGACTGTTAAGATTTTAAACACTGGAGCCTTTAAGGGCAGAATCCCCAATCCCGGTCAGGATTCATGCTGGTGTCCACCTCTTCTCCCCTCCCACAGTGGGAAGGGAGCTGGATGCTTAGCACAGATCCTGTGTTGGAGAAACACAAAAGATCCCAAGAACAATTTGAAGCTCAAGAGGGGGAAAGTGCTTAGAAATGGAATTTGGCTTTTTCGGCTCTAATTGCCAGGCAGATTGCCTGGGGTCTCGGCGCTGGATGCACTCCCGAGCAGAGAAGCCAGGCTCAGATGGCGTGCCCTCAGTGCCCTGACACCGCAGGATGAAACCTTATTTAGTAGCTGTATTAACTGAATCCTCAGTTTGTGTGGATTGATGGAATTCATATCAGAATAGCCCCTCGCTGTTGGAGATGTCCCTCAATGATTTCCTCTGCCCTCCAAAGCAGGAACTGTCTTTGCTGAATGTTTTTTTTTTTCTGTTTGCTTATTCATTCATACATTCACTCCACATTCCATTCACTCATTCCACAAAAGTCGATTTAGAACCCGCGATGGATTGTACACTGCATTTGTTCTAATAGTTGACCGTTAGAGAGCATCTACTAAATCACCGCCACCGCTGTAAGCAATTTAATTACATCACCTTCTTGAATCGCCATAAGTATCCCAGAAAGTGGGAAGCGGCGTTAATCTCTCTGCTTGCTTTTCTGTTTGCTTATTTTTTCCCAGTCATCCTGGATTCTTTCACTTCCTATTTCCTTTTGCTTTCTCTTCCCTGTATCCTTAGCTGACTGCATTTTAAAATGGCGGATGTTAGATTTTGAATGCACATTCTGGTATCTTTTCTTCTTACATTTAAAATCCAGTCCCTGACTTGGGCTCCAGCATCTGTTTGAGCCACACCCGTGGGGCTCTCTGTTCCAGCTCTGCTAGCTTTCTTCCTCTGCCTCTCATGCTTGCTCCCATCCCAGGGACTTTGCAGGTTCTCTCTACTTTCTCCCAGAATCATTTTCCTGAATCTTATTTGCACTGTTGACCCTGTTTTGGTACAGCCTTGTGAGCTAAGAATATTTTTTTGTACTTGAAGTGTTGTTTTTAGAAGAAGGAGGAGGAGAGGGAGGAAAAAAGGAGGAACAGCAGCAGCAACAAAGACTGCAAGATAAATAAGGTTTAAAATATTTGCTATTTGGTTTTTACAGAAAATGTTTGCTGTCTCAGTTGATGTCTCCATCCTGAGACTGTGAGCTCTGTAGGGAGGGATATTTCTGTCTTGTTCACCATTTTTTCCCATGTGCCTAGTGCAATGCCTAGCACATAGCAAGTACTGAATGATTTGGCCATATGGTAGATTGAATGAATGAATGAATGAATGAATGAATGAATGGTTCTCATCTTCTCACCTTTAAATCTCCCAGGGCTTTGCCTCTGAGGTCTATTTGATGTTCACACCCACCATTTAGGTGATGGACTTCTTTCTCGTCTTTTACCCAGTGATACTGCCTCGCAACTCATGTGTGATCCTCCTGCACATGGCTCTCAGCTCCTCGAATGCTTTCAGATCCCAGGGTGGGTCTTCTTTCTCTCACTTCTGTGCATCTTCACACTGTTCCTCCTACTTGTCCTTCTGGAACCACATTGCACCATGGCCTCAGGACACAGCACAACTCTCACCTCCTCTGGGAATCTTTCTCTGACTCCTCAGGCCAAGCTGGATGTGATTCCTTCCTGCCCTGGCACCTCCCTGACTTATGTCTGTCTACGCACAGACAGTCCTGGGATGTAATTACTTGTTTGAACATTTCTATCTCCCTTTGTTCCGGGAGTTTACTGAGGACAGAACGATGCCTAAATTCATCTTATATTCTTTGCACCCTTGATGGTCTGTAGCCCACATTAAACACTCAGAATTGTAGCTGACAAACTTGTAAGATGAATGAATGAATGAATGAATGAATGACGACCAAAGTAATTTCCCTATAACAACATGGGGATGGAACCACAGGATTTTTAAAAATTATTTTTTAAAGTCTTAAAATCATTTTGTCTTCCCAAAATCAAAACACGGTTGGCAATTTCCTTTTTAACCCACAGCTAATTTACAGAAGGGATTTTTATAAGAATGTTTTTCTTCATTTCCACTGATGGTAATGCTAAGTAGGGGGAAGGCACTCAGGTAGCAGCCATGTGGGTGGCTTTCAGAGGTCCTCAGCCTTCCTTTTGACTAGCTCCAAAGCACTGTGGAAGGCTTCAGGAGTGGAAACCCTGCTGGCTCAGATTTCACAGTTTTCTGCAAATAAATTTCAAAGTTTTCAGGAAGGTGCAACCCTACTTATATGGACAACCAGTAGGAAACCCTAAAAAATTTGCCCAGTCCAGGGTGGTGCAAGCATCGTGAGCTCATTATTCAATCATTTTTCTATGTTAATTTCCAGAACTACTATCATGATATTGTTTGACCAAGAAAGAGAATCAATATTCAGCAGTCAGAGGTATCTCTGCTTGGATGCCTAGGTTGGGAATCAGTCGTGTGAGGAAGAATATTTTTCAGGCCAGTTTCTGAGCAGTTGGAGATACTGGTAAACACTTAAATGAACATCTATGGTTGTGGGGGTAGTGTGCATCAAACAGGAGCTACAAGCAGGGTGGTTGAGAGTTTCAGTGGTCTGAGATAGATGATGGCTCAGATTCAGCCTGCTAGAAACAAATTGCGTTGTTTGGACAAATGTACATCCTCTCCCTAGACCTCAGCTTCTTTGTTGAAAACTCAGCTGTTGCAAATGTTTAATGAGATAATGTGCTCACTATACCCCGCACAGTGCCTGGCAGGCAGTAAGTGCTCTGTTTCCATCAGCTGCTGTGGAAAGCAGGCTGATCTGAAGCAGGATGATTAACTTGATGTGTCAGACCCCTTAGGGTCTTCACAGGCCCCCAAATGAAACGATGTCTTGTACAAACTCCTACTGCAAAGGTCTCATAAACTCCCTCGAACTCTCAAAATCATCCATGACTCAAGAAAAATTTTCTTACTGATGTAAAACAAAGGCAGGAGAAGAAATGCATCTGGGCCACAGAGGAGAGTTCTGTTATGGTGACAGTGCCTGCTGTCCCCTCCATAACTCACAAGGCACCCAGTCAGCTAAGTTCTGTGATATCTTGGGAATGCAGGACTAGATTTCGTGAGAAAGGTCCCAGCTGGAGAACACAGACTTGGGGCCACAAGAGAAGAGAGGAGAGGTGTGGGAATGGAGGTGCCATCAAAGGAGAGAATTTAGAGATGATATTAAGGTCAGCAGGTTAAGAGATTGTAGTTTTCAACCTCTATGCACAGTCAAAGATATACCCGCAAAGGTAGGAAGTGACAGCAGGCACTGTAGTGGACCACACACTCTGAGTTTTCCGGAGACTAAGCAACTTTTCACGTGGTCTTCTGACAGCTGCCATTCAAGGCAATTACAGATCGCCTCCTGCCACATCCACCCGGCTGTCTTTCTCACTGTTCCTTCCTTGGAATCAGAGGCCATGCATCAAAGCAGCTTTTCCTGTAACCACACTGCAGCTATCCTCACCTTTTTGGGGCAGATCCAAACTGCATTTTGAATAAATATTTTGCTAATGAAAAATGACCAGGATTCTATAATTTGCGTTCTTTGGCATTTTTATAAATCAAATGTATTACTTCTTTTTCTGATTATGACAGTACTTTTTGCTTAGTACAGAAAATTTAGAAAATACAAAAACGGAAAATAAACATATGGGTGATGATAACTTGGAAACAGTGGCTGCCAATAGGATTTTCCTTCAAGTTATTTATTGGAATGCATGTACGAACATATTTACACACATATGCAAATGTATAATTAAAAATATTTTTAAGAGAACTGGGATCAGATTGAATGTACATTTTATATCCTACTTCCATATAGGATTTAATATCCTACTTTCCACTTCATAATATACCAATCCATACCTTTCTGAGTCACTGAATACTCTTTGAAGGAATGTCTTTATTGGCCACATAACATTTAATCACATGATTATAAACATAATGTATTAGATTATTTTGCTTATTTGGGGCCAATAAGATCCTTTTCAATTTTTCAGTAATGTACCAACTGCTTTGATCCGTATCCGTGTACACGATTCTTGAATATCTGATCATTTCCCTAAGATAAACATAAAAACTTTGGGTTGCTAGGCAAAAGGGTACAAATATTTTAGGGATTTGATAGGACAAAGTTATTTCCTAGGAAAGTTGCATCTGTTTTCTACACTGTCGCTAATGTAATGTGATGCACAGTTTTAAAAAAAATCTACATCCATTTGAAAAACGGTGTCTCTCTTTTAACAGCATTTTAACAGCCTGCCTTGGAATTTTTTCCCTTCACAACTCTGAATTCCTGTTCAGACCCAGGGGTATCCCCCAAAAGTCTCCCAAGTAGCGAACAAGGGACTAATTAGGCAACTCTGTATACATATCTACGTTTGTTTATCTGTAAAGATAACCATATGCATGTTCGCCTAGTTACACAGTACATATGTCAAAGAACAGCAAATGCCAAATCCAGTTCACTTCCAAGGAGAAGATGAAGGGCAACTTTTGGGAGTCCTGCTCAAATCATTAGTTATATAAATTGAGGACTCAGTCATAAGCTATGGGGCCTGGTCCACAGCCAAGAATAGCAGACCTTGTTTAGCTGAACCTCTTTCATAAAGAGGAAATAGAAAGAAGCCTAAATGGAGTGAGGCTATACTAGATTCTGTGCTGGGCTCCACTGTGCGCATCCTTTATGCCTTGCAAGGTATTCTTTCCTCCAGTTCTAGGCATAGAGAAGTCAGTGTCAAGGCTGACTTGCCGAGGCCTGCGGCAAGGCCTCTAGGCACTGCAGTTTGCAGAGAGAAGATTTGAACTCTGGCAGCCTGCTCCAAGTCACTGTGTTTTGTCACCAATTCCTCTAGATGCTGTCCCTAAAGCAGATCTCCGCCCACAGCAGCCACCTGGACAGCACATCCTTCTATTGGCTTTTCCTCCTTGCTCTCTCAGAATCACCACTCCTTCCCTTCTACTTCCCAGTTCAGTTCCCAGATAAACTACCTGACCGCAAGTGCTTATTGCAGACTTTCCTTTTGGGGTCTCCAAACTGAGACATTTACTTAAAATACCTGCATCTGCAGAAGGACCCAGTGGGCCAAGGCACTGCCCAGGTGCAGGTTTCCATTTCCTTCTTGGGCCTTCAGATTCCCCAAGGGCAATTTCACTGTGTCCTGCTGGGCTGAACCTCCCCTGGGAGCTACACCTGACTCGGAGGTTTCACCTTCCTCACAGCTGGGCCTACGCATGACCACGAGTGAGTCACAAGTGAAAAATGGAGACATCTCCCCTGGCTGCTGGGCTCTAGGTCCTCAAACCACACTTATGTTTATATGTGTTGGGATGATTCAGCGGAAACTTCTGGCCAACCGGATCACCATAGCAACTTTCAATAGACATCCAGCATGCAAATTAGAGAGTGGAAAGAGACACTTTCTCAGTAGCTCCAAACCACCATCCTCTGAACCCTTCATGGATTGAATAATAGATACTTTGAAGGTTTAAACACAGTCAGCTTAAATGCAGGTTCAACACCTGGCTGGGTCTGCTGGCGTCTTCAGATGCTGAAACAAGAAAAGCAAACTGGCTTCTAAACAGGATCGAGGTCAAGCAGGGAAGACATCTCAGCAGAGTTTGGGGACAGATTTACATGTGCCCTATGTCATTCGTAAGCCTCAAGATCTTGGCCAAATTATGAGTTTGTGGAGTGATTTGGCCATATTTGTGGACAAATTAGTCTATAAACTCTCCACTTTGTACGCTTTCTTTTGCAAAGCTGAGCTACTTGCATTTCCCCCTTATATGCCCCGTGCTTGCTCTTGACCTGCTTTGGATTGCACAGTCCCTGGCTTGGAATGTCCCTGTTTCTCTAAGCACTAGGGTTTTACAAAGCTCCAGGGTTCTACAAAATGGGAATAAAACTTCTTTAGGATATGGTGTATCTGAAAAAATGATCAGAAAGTATTTCACATATATTCGTCTCTCAACAAATGGTAGTTACTGCTAATACTCTCTTTGGAACTTCTGAAGCTTATTATTTTTTTCCTTTAGGCCTTAGTCTTTTACTGAATGCCAGTTGTGTGAAAAATGTGACGTGGGTATCTAGGGATACAAATGCCAACATGGCGTCTGCTCTGAAGAAACTCCAGGAGTTGCTGAGGATGGGAAGGGGTTATGGGTCTTAGCCATGACTGGGTTCTCAGTGGAGGCCTCTCATTTAAAGGAACAGTGTGTGGTACACAGATTTCAACTTACAAAGCAAATGGAGTGTGAGGGAAGATGAAGTTATTCTAACATCTTATTCACTGTGTCAGATAGGAACACCTATGGCTACAAGCAGCAATCAATGTACAGTGGCTCAGACAAAGGTTAATGTTCTCTCTCTCACACACAAGCACACACACACACAACTGTAGAGGCAGTTGGCTGCTTGTGTTAGTTCAGTGGCTTAGTTATATAAAAGCTAGCATCTCAGCAATTCTAATATCTTTTCCTTCTTGCTTGTCACTTTACCTTCCCAAGGTGGCTGTTAATGTTCAAGCCATCATGTCTGCATTCCAGGCAGTATTTTTTTAAAAGAGCAGGAATCGATGGTAGCATTGAAACGCTTACATCTTATCAGTGAGAACTGAGTTGCATGGCTATTCCTAGCTATAGGATAATCTAGAAAAGTAATTTTTTTTAGGTGGAAATCCTTTGCCTACATCGTATGCTCCCAAATGCATGGACCTGGGGTAGAGCCTGTGGATGAATAGAGAACTAGGCACAAGACGTGGTTCCTGACCTAAGGAACTCCTAGCCTAGCTGAGGAGGCTGGAAGCCAATCAAACAAGAGCACAAGCATGACAAATTTTAAATTGTCTTAATCTATCCTGCAAATCCTTGGACAGCCTGATGAGAAACTAAGCTTGGGCTGTCAGTTTGACTTGACCAATGACCCCTCGGAGGAAGCACGTATGTGACCCAGATTCAAAGGGTGGGAAAGGAGCTATCCTAGGTCTTGCCTGCAGGCTTCCTGACTCTTAGTCTAGCAGTTCCCTCTTTTGCACAGCTGAGCTCTGATCCAGGGGTTCAAAGGAGGTGGGTCAGTGGGGAGGGAAGAAAGGCCCTGATAAGGTTTTTATGACCCTGGCTTTGTCTCTTCCAGGAAGAGTGTGAAGGTCATTCATGTTCTTCGGTACATTGGGTCCAAGGAGAGACATGAAGAACGACAAAGAGAGTCTACTCAATTTGGACCTCTGGAGCGCCCAAGGAGAACCAAGTCCCTTGTGATTCTATTTGGTTGACACATTTTGTATCGTTTGTGTCCTGGCAGGAAGGAGTCCACCTGGGCAACGTGAGGAAAATTTTGATCATGGGCATGTTTACAAAGCCCCAGGCATAAGAAAAACGTAAGGGGAAGTGAGATTTGCTGGGGCTACCGTTTTCAGGGCGCCTGTACCACCTCCTGCTGCGGGGGAAGGTAAGGAAAGGGAGGGAGTTCAAAATTCAGAGGGTAAATGGGATGAGAGGAATTGAAAGAACAAGTGAGAGAGAAAATGACAGAGGCAAAGAAAACGCTGGCTAAGTTGACAGTGCAGCCTGACCCTAGCTTCTGATCTCCTTCCAATGTCCCTTGTAGGCCTGAACCAAATGGAAACCCAGCCAGAGGGCCTGGAGAGCCCACTGATCACAAAGACCTGCCTCCCAGAGCACAGCACTGGGTGGAGAAAGGCAGAGGATCGATCCGGAGAGAGGGACAAAGAAAAAGACACTCAACACAGATTTGAGTGAGAGCAAAGAGGTTGTTAGCACACCCTCAGTCCTTTAAGCCATTACAATAGCCCCACCAGTGAATGTTCTAGAAGCTTCCATAGAGCACTTCAAAGTGGGACTTGTGCTTAGGACAAAGCCCATTTACCATAGGGTGCTCTGCCATTCTCCTCATCCAGCTCCAGGTCTCTACTCTGGGACAAAAGAAATGCACAATGTTGTATTTCGCCTTTAGTGTCCTTCAGGTCATTATGCTTTGGTGATAGATCCCCAGGGACCATTCTGTCACTGTATTCTTTTCATCAAGAAATGATACAATTGAAATTGTAAGAACATACATTTCGCTACGGGACTTGGGTTGAAAGAAGGGGCACTTTTTATACATTTTTTTAAAAAAACTAATTCAAGTGTTTCCTGGTAGTGCAGCAAGGAACCACATGATTTGCAGAGTCAGTAGACGTTTAAAACAAAACATTTACAAGAGGGAGAAGAAAGTATATATGCATATCAATTTTATATGTATATATTATGTATGTTGATACACATGTGTGTATTCATTTACCCACTTGCCCTCATTGACCAATCAGCTCAGTCAACACAGAGGTTACGGTAGCCACATTCACAGGGTTAATCTGTTTCTTTCACAATACTAGTGAAAAGTGATGTCAGAAGCTTCTGTGCCTTCTCCAGAGCTGCTCCTACCCTAAGGACTAGTTGTTGGTTTTTGCAGCTTGGAAAATGGGTTGTTAGGAGTGGTCAAGCACGCTCCTGGAGACACCTCAGGCTCCATTTTTCAGAGGATCACTGGTAATTCTGACACCAAGTTTCAGGTTTAGCAAGAGGTTCATAAAACTATTCTCAAGGTATAATGATAAAAAAAAAAAAAATCGAAGCTTCAAGGAGGATCAGCTTTGCCTCTCCCAACTTGCCCTCACAGACATTAAAAGGGTGGGACTTTTTGGGAGAAGGCGTTGTCTCTGGCAGGAGACACAAGCCACCAGATAGCATCATTTGCAATATTAACATGGTGGCAGAGGGACAGAGGGAGAGACCAGGTTATGAGGAGATGTTTCCAGGGTGGGACACACCAGCAAATTGAGACGGTGTTCTACAGGAGCAAGTTCATTGATCTCACAGGCATTCATTGGGCACCTTCTGCATGTCCAAGTCTGCGTGGCATAGCATTTTTTGCCCTCCAGGAGGTGTCTGACAGGTGGACAGGCAGACACCAGCAAATCAGAGATCCCAGTGTGAGTCATGATGTAGCCTGTGATAGAGGGAAGCACAGGACGCCCCAGAACCAGTGCCAGGTTGCATCACAGGCAGAAAGATCTGGGCTTCACGTATCAGCAAAGCATCTCTCCTTCCCCCAACTCCAAATAGCTCTGTTGACAGCAACCTAAAACACAAATCAAAGTCATCATCATGGGAAAAGCTCAACTTCAATGGATTTTGTTTACTTGAGTCTGATATTGTTTCCATTTTTAATTACATGGAGGACGACCATCTTTCATCTTCCAGTTCTTGGAGTCTTAATACACTTACATTTGGAAACACAGAATCCTCTCTCCCTCCATATCTGGGGGTTTGGGGAAGATATTAGAGTGGGGGCAATACCTGAAATGTATCATGCTCCAAAGCAAGACAGGGACAGGGTATGCTGAGAGAAAGGAACAGTGATGGAGATTTCTGGATGTTAGCATCCTTGACTGACAATCCTAGGGTTTCCAAACGTCCTCTTCCCATCCAAGTGTCCATTGGGATGGGAAATGGGAGGTGACAGCTATGGGCCAGTAGTGTTTCAATCAGATGGCACCATCTTGCACTCAGCTCAAAGTTGCCCTGGAGTGGACTCTGGAAATGTACAATTATTGTTGCTGTTGCCATTCTTCTTATTATTGATACTTATCTCTTGGAATATAGAGCATCGGTGTTCCTGCTCCACGTTGTGAGAGGGTGTGTGGTGCTATCAGGATTCCACATTCACATACCAATTCATTCACTGAGCATTCACCCAATGCCAACTCCTAGCATGGTGCCAGGTCTTGGGGCACTGCCATGCTGTAGGTGTCACCTGAACCTCAGCCTTCTCCCTCCAGAGAGAAGTCCCTCTTCGGCACTTAGGCAGAAGAGTCTGGGGGTTACTTCTGACACGGGGCAAGACCTTGGAGAGTGAAGATGCATAGGAGAGTTTCACCGGAGATCCAGAACTCACACAGTGAAGGAATCCCAGGGCTGTCTAGCTACCCAACAATAAAAATGCCCTCCGAAAACTCTCCCAAACGACTCTTACCCTGAAACCAGCACATTGTTTTTTTGCTATTTGGAAACTTGCTTTCAGGCACGTTGCTGATGGCACACCAGGAAATGAGGAGGAGTCGGGCAGGGAAATAACATTTATGGCACATCTGTTACATGCCAAATCCTGGCATTCCACATGCACAATCACCCTTCATCTTCAAAACTCTAGGTGTTGGGTGGAATTACCTCCTCACGTTATACCTGAAAAACTGACACCTAGAGAGGTTAATTCATTTCTAGGACATCGCAGAGCACCCAAGAGCCTTATTAGAACTTAGCTCTGCCCCATGTTGGTCTGGAGCTTTCCTTCTTCTTCTATGTGATGCAAAATTGGACCAGGAAAATTGCCCTGGACTTCTGCCAGTGGAGCTCTAAGAAACCACACAGGAAATAGGGTATAGGCTACTCCCATATACTAGCTGCTTTCAATGGGGTTTTAATGGCATCTTTGTTATTATCAGGAGAATTCCGAGTACACTTTTAACCACATAGATCTCAGACTTCAACCTAGTGGGTCTGGACTTTGTAGAAAGACCTTAGGTTGGCTGAGCCAGGGGAGCTGATAACACCAGGCAGGTGGATGATGCCAGAAGAGAGCCGAGTAAATATTTGCTGAGGCAGGTCATATCTAAGGATGAGTTAGAGGATTCTAGTAGTCCTGGAGCAGTGGGCTATGTGGCCAAAACATCATTACCCATTTGTGGATACCACAGATCCAACCAGATTGCCTCAGAAGGAAACCAGCCTGCATTCGGAGTAAACAGTTAACTCTTCTGGGCTGGAAGAAATGATTATTCAAAAGTTGGTCCCCACATACAAATGCAAATGACATCCTGAGACACATGAATGCTAATTTCTCCTACGAAGTCTGTAGACAAATGCTCGTCATTAGAAACATTTCCGTGCATTTATATTAGGCTGTCCTCTAAAAGACTTTTTAGACAAATATGTCATCAAGATATTCAAAACCATGTAATCTTATCCAGAGTTTCATCTATCAACAGTACAGTCTTCATCTCTTGCAGCTGTGTGTCAGAATGCGCGGGGAGATTACTCAGCTGATGTAGCGGAGCTGGGGAGGGGCTGCAGTTTTGGGGGTCCATGTAGCGCCTCAACAGGAGGGTCTAGGTTTTCAGGTGGGCCAGGCCTTTTAGCCACAGGTGAGTGATCTGAGGTGGGTGAAGCATGACCTCTAACAGGTAAAGAGAAGCATCCTTCTCCTGGGCATCACTACATCGGGCTGCCCTTGCCTATGAGTGCTACTGAGATGACAGATTAAATAAGAGCAGAGTAGCTGGGAGCTCCAGATCTTGTCTTCACTAACTTCTGCAAGGCAAAACCTCCAGCCTGTAGACTGCTCCCAAGGAGGCTGGGGGTGAGGGGAGATGGTCAGACTGAAGTGACAGCATTCTCAAGCACCAAATGGGAGGGCTGGGCTTTAAGGCATTTCTCTGTGCATGTGTACTTTTCTCTCCTCTTTCCTTCTCTTCTGCCCCCTCCTCCCCTCTTCCGCTGCCTCCTCCAACCCTCTTCCCTCTGTTCCTTTTCCCTTTCCTGCTGTCCTTTCCCTCTTCTTCTTGGGAAAGTGTGTTTGTTAAAAAGGGTGCTCAGAGGAAGGCTTCATTATACCCCTGGGGATGCAAATGTTACTGTTATTTGGTTGTTTCCTGAGTTTGGGTCACTTTATTTAGTGTGTGAATGGATGGTGGCTTTTGGCAGTGACAGAGGAACATTTTTCTTAATTATGTGATAATATAAACCCATCAAATAACTTATTTAACATAAATATTTATCTGCTTATTCAAACATTCATTCACCCATCTGTCCATCCATCCATCCATCCATTTATCCTCCACCTATTGATAACAGTGTCTGAAGAATGCAAGAATATATTGCATTTACTATTACCCCATTTTTGTGGTTGAGGCATAGAGAGGTTAAAATATTAGACCAAGACTACCCATCTAATAAGGGATGGTGCTGAGACTGACTCATCTCTTCTCTGGTTCAATCCATTTAATCCATTAACAACCATTTCTTGAATGTCTGCCTTGTATCAGTTATGATGGGAGGATAAAGTTTTCTCAGACTTGTCCCTGCCTTTGAGGAGTTCATGGTCATGAATCAGAGCCAAACGCCATGACTCTGGCTATGAGGCTGGCAATGAGCTGCATGTCCTGAAAAAGTGTGGCCCAAATGCAATGGCAGCTACAAACTGGTGCAGAAATCCACCAGCTGAGGTGCCTGGAGTGGAACTGACATTGTCAAAGGTGGCCAAGAGAAATGGTTCTCATCATCCAACTTCCATGGAAACCCCACCCCAGGGGTACCTTCTGTTTACTAACGTGTAGCCTGTGAATCTCATTCTAACAGCTGCTGCTTTGCAAGGGGATTCAGGAAAGGACAGGCCTGGATGAGGACCTGCTCCTCTGTAGATGGGCATTGTATAGCTATGCTTGGTTCTTCAGACAGTACTTCTTGGAGCCTAGGATAAAATCTGCCCCTGTTGGATCACACCTGCCAGGGACACGGATATCTCTAGAAAGCATCACTACATTGTGAGAGGCATTCTGAGGGAGGAAACAGTTTGTGCAAAGACACACAGACTTGAATGATGATGGCATGATAGAGTAAGCTGGCTTCTGCTCTTGAAGCACAGGTGGGTAATGTGCTTTATGATGGGGTGGGTAATGGAGGGCATGAGGAATATCTACATGGTTAAAATTAGGCTTCCCTTGTGAAGGGCTTTACATATCAGCTGAAGAGTTTGGAATATAAAGAAGTCATAAAGGTATTTGGGCAGGGGAAATATATAGCCAGTTCAGCATTTCAGAAGGAATTCTCAGCAGTGGATGAGCAAGCTGGGAAGCAGGGGCACTACTCATTAGTTGGTTGCTGTAATATTAGAGATGAGGGCCTAGCATAGACCCAAGGAGTAGGAATGTGATACAGACAGCAGATTCTCAAAATTTTCGACAAGTAGAATGGAGAAGATGTGTGATCGACGGGCATATCGGATAAAGAAGAGGGAAGAGCTAAGCTCGGTTCTCAGGTTTGTAGCTTAGGAACTTGTGTGGATAGTTATTTGTCAAACCTGGTTAGGAATCATGAGAGAAGAGGCTAGCTTTGAGGAGTCTGAGATGCCCAGAGGACATTCTGGTGATGTCATCTAGTAGGTAGTTGAAAATCTTCCTCTGGAGAACAGAAGATAAAGTTCTGGTTAGCAGTGGAAACTGGGCAGTCATCAGCAAACAGGTAGCATACATGCCATTAATTGCAATTTCTGCACCCATAGCAGACATCGCTAATCAATCGTGGAATTTTACTGTCTCACTGTGCCTGGCTGCTTAGGCACAATGATTTAGGCCTCTGTTTCCAACAGACTGGGGCTAGACATTGAATTCTTTTTCCTGGCTATTATAGTGGCAATGACAGGTCACTGAGAGACTGGGAGTGCCCTATGTGGCAAATGAAGTGCATTTAAGAGACATAGCTGTAGCTGAAAGAGTGCTGGCTATGATAAAGGATTACCTGTGTTCAAATTCCATCATCATCACGTAGGGCCTAAACTCCCTAGCTCTTATTTATCTGTAAAACATCAATCACAGAATAGTACCTCCTAAAATTTGGGGCAAGATTAGAGTCATGTAAAGTGTTTAGAACAACACAACCCATGCTAAATACTGAATACGAAGGGCAAAAGAAACTGAAAATAAAAGGGTTCCTTGGAGACTATACAAATCTGACTTCCCTGGGACAGCTGAACTCAGACGGCCTGACTGGAAATATTTCTCATCACAGGAGGTGAGCTGGCACTGGAGAGAAGGCCAAACTCTTCTTCCATCCTAGACTTGGTCCTCTGCATGGGAAGGCTGCAGTTTCCATGGATGTTCTGGTATCTTCTCAAACCCAAATATGGTTTGGGGTCTGAATTCATGCAATTCCACAACTTCACCTCCTAATTTTAACAGTTCTTCTGTGTGCAGTTTGGAAAAAGGGATGGACACCTTGATTCAGCATGGTGGCTGCTGGGTCTGAACTTTGCTCACCAAGAATGGCAGATGGACAGATGTTTGCTTCCACCGGGGAGGTAAATGA